AATTCCAGAAACGTATGAACTAATGTCTATTATCCGGTCAATAGTGATGTTTGTTGCTGGATGCTTTGCGTTTTATGTTTATGCTCAGCAACCGTGATTTAATATATACAGTTTATGTTAGTGAGTGGTCTTGTGCGTTGGAGGGAACCAGAGTGCATGGACTATTTCACATTTCCAAGAGGATAACATTATAATGCAGACAGGTCAGTGAAACTTACATTGCTCAAAATTGTTTTTGTTTAGTCACAGCGTAAGTAAACATTCCACATTTTGATAAGCTTCTGATGCATTCCACCCTTAGCTACTGCCGGTCTTGGCAGTTATAAAATGCCAAATAAAAAAGACTTATCAGTTATGTAGTCCGTCCCATGTGACTGACACATTGGGAAATGATATCCCTCCACTGAGGGCTTAATTTCTCAATTTATACTTAGTGGAATGCAGCTAGGCTAACTTGGAGTAGGGATATATTATCAGTGTAAGGCACTACCACTAGATTAATAATCCTATATCATTGGTGAGATGGATGTGGAATCCCAAAACAAATCCTGGGACATCATTCCGGTCTGTTCAGGCTAAAATTAATCAATTCCTCCACTTCTCGCGGTCTTTTGTTACCACTCAGAGCTCTTCCCTGGCAACACCTGTAGATGCCAGAACAGCAAAGCATGCGAGCAGTGATGCAGTTCAATAGCGTCTGGTGGGGACTAATTACTGATAGCACCAGCCGAAGCTCATGCATGAAATATGAATGGGCTTCTGTGAAAATCACTTTCAAGGTGATTCACAATTGATCTGTGTCTATTTCTTCCATATTTTAAAGCTAATGGTTGGAAACCCCACTGCATAATTAATGACAAGAATTAAATTATGCGCAGAAACTTTGTATAATGTTTAAGCTTCCATTGAAATGTAAGAGTGTGTGGTGTATTGTGGTTGCATAAAGAGCAACCAGGATTATTTTGTCTTGCATCAATAACCTTTGAAATCTTTTGAACTAGGATATTGTCATCCTCATCAACATTAGCTTTGGTCTATCCAATATTGGATTAAGACCTTTCCCCACCAATTCCACGGAGTTCATCTTCTTGGGCTTGTTCCCTCCTCTGCGTGCTGTTCTGTGACCAGCCTCGACCATCGGCCATGGCTACGCACGGTGCGAAAGAGGTTCAACATATATAATCCCTTCTTGTCATTCTTCAGCGGACAATATGACGTCCTTACTATGCATCGCTCTTTCTCTCTATGTAATTCCCTATACACATCTTTCCGTACATATTTGTACACTATTAATCTTTCGGTCCATTTTCCCATGTTCAGTTTAATTTACCCCGTGATTTGTTTTGGCAGTGAGCAGCACAGCATGCTTTATAGACGATTTCCTCCACCAAGTGGAACGCCCAGGGCCTCCTTCGTCTTTTTTTGCACGGGCATTAGTTGGTAAGCCGTTTAATAAGAGGCTGCAGGTGTGGTTAATACCTTTGGCTTTCATCCTACTCAATTCATAGCCCATGCAATGTCTTTCCACGCTTGCTGGTGTAAAGTGGCATTCTTGCTTGTGCACGCTGAAGAAACCTCCATTGTTCTTAAAGCGTTATTAAAAAAAGGGGGCCCCTTTGAAGTTGTCTTCAGATAAACTCTTGTGATTGTTTTTTACCAGTGAAGCGTGGCAGTTTGAGTGAGATGCTCTTGTTTATCGTAAACAAAAAAAGTTATTGTGGTTCACCAACGTGTCAATTAAGTTTTGTTTTTCATCTTCAATTGATAATGTTGAGTGCACTGCAATTTTAAATTGACTAAATATTTTATAATGTGTGCATACAGCTTGGACTATTGGACCAAGAAAACAGTCAATGTTTGTGAAACCTTTTTTTTCTAATCTTGTCCAAAGTCAAAAATGGCTTACTGTACTTTAGTATAAACTGTGTGCACATGGTAACAATTTCATTGCCACACAATGCATAGCGTGCGACTGACGCATTGCCATTGCAGCGTTATTCTTAGAAGCGTGCACTTCGCTGCCACGTTGGGGTTACCGTGCATGTATTGTGCTGTGCCTATAATTTGAATGACACAATATCAATATGCATGTTAAAAAGCAACAGGTCTTGTGAAAAATGTATTCCACAGAATCCACGTGTGTTTTCCATTTCCCCAGCCCATCACCAGGTGGGGTTAATATGGTACAAACCACAGACGAATGCCCATTCCTGGTAAACAAGAACCGGGGCAGGAAGTTGGCCTGCACAAGTGCTGCTGAAGAATAATTCCCCAGCCCCCATAACCTTCGATTGTCTACATATTTTTGGCTCTATTATTTTAAGTGAATAGTAACAAGCCCAGTATTCTAGTTTATTCGGCGCGCGGCTCCAAAATCTACGGCAGGAGAAACACGCCGCATTCCCGCTCATGATGATTTCTCGAGTTGAGAATGGTCAAGTGCACGAAAAAAATATAATAACCTATACGTGCGTGTTTATTTTTTTCTGGTTAAAAGAGACCGTGTTTGAGTAAGGCAGCGGGTGTGAATTTCCATCAGCTTTCATAAAGTTGCCGGACAAATTATAATAATACGGCAGCTTAGGGGGAAAGTGTCTGGGTTTGGATTACATCACTAAATGTAGGCCATATCACTATTCAAATGTACGGCGTTTATGCTGTATTACAGAGCGCGTGTCATTCAACAAGCATTGGGCCCCCTCGCCGTCATTTACACGCGTTGCGAGCTGTAATTATTATTGTACACACAGCGGTGGCATGTTAATTCGATTAAGAAGAAAGCTTGTGCAAAAAGACAAAACAAACCTCAGTGTTCCCGACATGTTCAGTGAGCTCTGTAATATTCCCCAATTCCTACACAAAGCAGTGGTTGGAATATCGCCCACACGGCCAGTGTAGAGGACGTTCTGATGAGCGCACAGTGCTCGCTTAAATACAAATGCTTCCAATATGGTATTTAACCTGTTATTGGTAATTTCGAAGAAAAAACACCCCCATCTACCGTGTATTTACTTCGTGTTTCATATTGTCGTTAATGATGCACAGTAATTATCTCTCTTTTTAAGTCGGCTATTATTTTAGAAGCATGTCCCATGTGCCACAATGAAGGTTAGTACGTCGTTGTGAGTGAGTGTGACTGGGTGTGCGGCAGTGTGCCGGGCTTGCTTGCCATTAGGATCACACGCTGGGTGCTCACCACAAAGGCTGTGTGGAATGCAGCTTGGGCTGCCTCTTTCTGGCCACTCAAAGAATGGCAACCCGCCAAGGACTTACGCTAACTCTTTTGCTCGTGCAGTTTTTTTTCTGTCCCTTCTTTAATCAATTCTTTTTATTCATTTATTTATTTAGTTATGCTATATGAGTATTCTACGGCTTATGCCGTCCGGTTCGTTTTATCTATTCACGTACACAATATTTTACACACTGAGCCGTTGAATCAAACGGTCTCTGGAATGGATGTGAAGGATACCTCGTGAGAATTATTGCACGAGGTAAGTTTGCACCACTGAGGTGGGGTGGGTGTTTTTTTTTTACTTACTCACTCGGGGCAGCACAAGCGTGCGGGCATGTCCAGTGGCAGGAAAGAACATTACATTCTCGTTCACTGCATATGCGGTTATGGCTGTAGTGAAATCCTAGCTCTTACAGCGTATCCTAAATGTGCACGCCTTTTTTCGTTGGCTCTCTTCATGCCGTGCGGGTCATAGCGGGGTGGGGGCAGGCTTTCACCCATATTTCACCGCGAGGATCCGCCTTGGTTGGTGATGATGGGCAGCATAGATGTACAGTACAATGGTGTAGTTCTCTGCACAGCCTATGCTGCTCACAGTTTGGCCTAGCAGCAGCCTATAACACCTGTTTTTTTAATGCATGGTGTTTGCTCATCTAAGAAGTATCCAGGATCAACCCAACTTAGCTTCTGAGCTCAAACTTGATTGAGTGCATTATGGATTATTTTGTCATTGGCTAACGTACACACAGAACATGGCCTAGGTCAATATAGGTGGTTGGTTCATAACTATGTTCATTTAAATACAAAAAATGTTTTCTTTTTTATATGACCTTTGTGGCATTCCTTTAAAGAGCTATTCAATGTAGAATGAATGCCCTTGAATGAGATTAAGCAAAACAACTTCTAAATCGATTGAGAACATGATGATACACAAATAGGATAATCTTTATCGATCTTTGACAGTGGCATTTACAAGTGAAAAACATGAAAAGTAATCCATCGGAAGACGATGGAAAGTGTGCACAGTAGTGGCGTAGACATTTTAGTATGCAGGCTGTGCAACTGCACCGGAGCCACCAAACCAGGTTATGAAGGAGGAGGTCGGGGGGGGGGGCATTGAACAAGAGGCTCCATTTCATCCGATGCACCAGGACCTGTGCAACAACGGCACTGGGTGTGCCCTGCCGACCCCATGACACCAGTGCCATCTGCATGTTACAAGTGCTGCGGTAATCCACACGTGGAGGAGTGAGGAGTGAGTCATCCTCACAAACTAGAGCCTTGGGAGGGGGAAGATGTAAAGGACACACGCGCCTATGAATCGTGGCGGTGGTAGGCCTAAGCAAAGTAAGCAAATACTTCTGACTTCGAGCACCTGAAATTGATGAAAAGAGGGGTGCAAACAAATCAAAACACACAACTGAAATCAAACAACTGAAATTAAATCCGAGCAAGATATTAACATAAAGCTTAAAACATCTCATCTGTATCTTGTCTGCATTACTCTTCTTCTCTCATCTCACTTCATCTTTATTTTTGGTCTACAATCCTTTGATCTCACTCCATCTCTGCCTCTTGCATGTACTTCTCTTCTGCCATCTCAGTCGAATTGAATCCTTGGGAAGGAGGGGAGAACCCACAGAAATAATTGCTGCTTCGGGAGCCCAATGAGCAAACAGCACCCACTGAAGCGATGAAATCAGCTCGTGTGCTGGTGCTAAAAGGTTTGTCGCATCAGTTTGAATCATAGAGACGACTTGGGGGAGGACTTCACCCAGACATAGTGGATTGATAATTATAGTTGACGATGATGACTATGGCGATTATGAGTGTGCTTAAATATTGCTTTCCACAAATTCAGTGCAAAATGTACAAGACTGAAATATGTCCAGGGAGCTAGAGCAATGATGCAATACAGTACTGCTGGTACAGATGCCAATCATGTGTGCAGTGTAATAGTCCAACAACCTCACATACAGTATTAATGATCAATACTTGATGGGTATTGGTGCACGTCTCTAGTCCATGGGCTTAAACTGTGGGGTTTGTGTACACTTAGCAAAGGAGTGTGTTTAAAATACCCACATGACAAAATTTAAGTCCCTATAGATGTTAGTACAGCAAGTACGTGCATTAGCTGTGTGGAGTTGGAGTGCTTTACTCTCACACATTTCAATGTTATCCGTGCATTTATGTTTCCTCCAAACATCCCAAAACAGTACTCTGCTCAACCACAGTGTTGAGATTCGTAGATCTGTGTTAACAAAGCCGGCATTACAGTACTATACATTAAAAAAAACGTTTCTGCGAATGCCCGTGATGGAATGCCCTTTTCATATCTGAAAATCATCTGAGCGAGGAAAAATATTTACCGCCGGTAAGTACTGGGCGCAAACATGTCCGACATGGAAAGCAGCAGGATGGGCTGGGTGTCCCTGGGGGAGCCGAGTGGGGACCGGTGGAACAGAACATTCAGCTGCTGCGGAGTTCGTTTGAAAGGGAGATTTTTTTTTATAAAAAAAACACACACACATGGTTTGTTACACCATGGGTGTTTGCAAAGAGGATGACTGTTACAGTAAACTTCTGTGGTCGCGACCATCCGTGAACGTGTGATATTTAACAACAAAAACGCATCATGGATGCTTTCCTTCAAAGGAATCCAACACGAGCCGAATGCGTGCCCACGCTATCTCTGTCTCTTTTTGCGTTGCATCTCAAGTATGTACGCGCATGCTGAACTGCGACTGAACGCTGGCTCGCTGTGTCAAATCAAAGCGTCTCTCCGCTTCTTTCGGTCACCGTGAGCCAATCACAAGGGCAGCCGTAGTGCAGTGTGGTTAGCACACTGCGCTGTGAATCGGATGACCTGAACTGAATTCGCGGCCACGGGTGAAATCAATATCTGAGTGAAATATAAGCCAGCCCTGTCCGACTCCCTTCACCAGCTCGGAATCTCCAGCGTGGTGACGAAGGCTCAAACAACCAGTGGATTCACAAATGGCTCTAAATTATTATCAATTTTGCGAACCAAAAACAATTCCAAGGTATAGTTTTTGTGCCGGAAAAGGTGATGACAAATTACGTTTGAGACCGCCAGGGTATAATTTGCATTGCTTCACCCCCTTGGATGGATGTTATTATAGTCAATCATGCTGGAAAGTAGTTATGCTGGGACACATTAAGCCAGAGAATAACAACATTCAGTGTGAGTTTCTTCAAATGGAGACTGTCACATCCCCTGCGGTTCATTTGACAACAGCTACACTCCAAGACATGTGTTGGAATGGCTTGCACGTATTCAATCGCAGCCATCTTTATCACAAACATTGTCCCGCATTGACTGTTGACAACTTTAATTTCTGTATTAATATTAATTGACTCTTATTTCACTCGAAACATTTGAATGGAATTTGTAAGCCCCTTATGAACTGGCAGCAATCCGCACAAAGGGCAAATGTTATCATGTAAAAAAACATTGTGAAAGAACGTTTGCTTAAAGAATAGTCTTTAAGGCGATTTGTCCAAGAGGAGTGCTTTGGCAGACAGCAGTTCCATGAGTGTGGCCAAATAAATAGTCGCCCCTAAGGTGCCTTGTGGGCTACGCAAGCAAACCTGCACTGGTGGCATCTACCAGATTATAATGACAAAAGTATATGTAGAAAAGCTATAAAGTCCACAAGTGGAATGGAATGCGATTGACACTCATGACTTTAGTTTGTGTTCCATTCGGTTGTGTCACGTTCGATCCGTTTTTATTGACGTTTGTTTGTTTTGATAGACCATGGTGACAATTTTTTAATGAACTGCAGCAAACATGAGAAAAGGGCACACCCAAGTGAATTTCAATATGTGCCCTGCATTGTTGTACACACACATCTATATTGTGTGTCTTCAGCACACACTGATGGAGCACCGAAAACTGGACAAGGCACGGAGTTGTAACCAACGATCTCAAAAGTCATTGGTTGTGCAGTGAGTGAGCTACCCTCTTACAGTTTGGCCCCAGGCGTAAGAAGGGGATAAAAGCATGAGCTCACCATTTTTTACGCAGTGCCAAGCCCTGAAAACCTGTCTGCCTGGCTCCCAGCGTTGAGCTATTAAACTCATTACACCCTTACAGAGAGTAAGCTGTAAATCCACTGCTATTGTCTCGTGTGCTATGATTCCGGATTTTTGGGGACAAGCCTAAAGTTTTGCACCAACCTAAGTCTCTGAACCGTGGCGTACCAATGGGCAATGCCTAGAGCAAAAGGTATGTGCTACCCCCCGTCCCCATTTTTTATTTTTACCCTCAAATCATCAAATATATTGACCTGCTGAACCAGTGCAGAGCTACCATCATAGCAACTTATTAAACGTCGTTTAATAATTGCTGTTATTATGGACGTGTATTTAAAATGTACACCTCAGCCACCACCATCCCGTCAAGCAGAGGTATGCGGGGCTAAAAACATCTTTTGGTGTCATCACCAAACCTCACTCCCTTAGTCAGGCAGAACAATAAACCATTATTCGTCTCTAAAGTCCAAGGTGCACGGTTGTGCCACTGGTGGAGTTTCCTGGTGATGGTGATTTGTACAGACGGTTGCTAGGAAAGTCTGTGCCTCGTGCCCGTGTTGAATAATGTCCGAGCTTTTCTCTGGGTTTGCTTCTTTTGATGCCCTCCATTGTGCCCAGCGTGCCCACCGTTTTCTCATTCCCTTGAATTTTCAGTGCTATCACAGTGCATTGTAAATGTGAGTGACATACACAAGAGACATTGTAAACTTGAATAATTAATGAATGTTCACTGACAAAAGTACTCCCGTGTAATGTAATGTGTATTGATTATTTTATGAAAGACATAATTTCCAAATTAGTAAAACATGAAGGGAAGTACATTTTTAATACGAATCATAATTTACTTAAAATTAATAAAACACACCGAGATAGTTAGGGGCCGTCCATAAATGACGTCACGCACCTAGGGGGGGGGGGTCAGACATTTGTGACGGTGTGTGACGAGGGGGGGGGGGTTGAGAAATGTGACGTCACATCAAAATGCGCAACATTAAATAAATATAGACAACACGTTCTACTTAATTAAATATACTTTTAATAAATGTTGTCTCATACAACATCAGAGTGCAGTGCCACATTAAATACGCACTACAATGACAATAGTTTAAAGCGATTTGAAGCATGTTTTATATTTTTTTTGGGGGGGGGGGCAGAGCTTTGTGACGTCATATTCGAGGGGGAGGTGTGACTTTTTGTGACGCCGTGTGACGATGGGGGGGGGGGGGTCAGAAATCGTCCAAAATCGCGTGACACCATTTATGGACGGCCCCTTATATAGTAGAACGAATGTTGACTTGTATGTCTATGTCCAAATTTACCAAAAAAATGTCTTCAGTTGACGTGCGACTGATTAATTCCAAGTCTCCATTGACATTTCTAAATTCACGGTGGTTCACTCGGGGTCGATGGTCTGATCAGAGGTTTCCACAATCGGATGCTCGGCTGTCTTTGAATTTCCACTTGTGAAGGTGGTGGGCAGTTCTACGGTGAGAAGTACAGATTCGATTTCATGTGGACCACTGTTTTTGAGGTAGATTAAATTTAGGCACTTCTTCAGTAGGATAGGTCATCAGGTGCAAGTTCGGGATGTTGTTAACCTAAATCTGTCGCTATTTCTCTGAGGCACTAAATCCCAAATTGACAAGGGCTCTGGACATCCTCAATAAAAGATTTGTGTGATTTCAGCCGGAGATTCAGAAGATGTATTAGATTTTCGTGAAAGGGCAGATTTGGATTGACTCTGTATGCAGCAGTATTCATGGAAAGTGATTTCCTGTCTGCAGTTATCAGGAGGTACATTGGATAACACGGCCAGGGTAAAGGAGTTAATGTTTTTGAGCTGGTGACAATCCTCCTTCAGGTGTATAAGATGGCGCCTAATTGTTTGGTGTGGCAACTCTCAGCCCAGATGGGCGTGTTACTACTCTGCTCTGAGGTACACAGAGGCCAAGATAGTATTACGAAGTGTGTGCATGTCTGCTCCGCAACATTAGCCCGTGCATTTTCAGATGCGATATATCCTGGCCTTTGTCTCATTAGAGATCTTTCTCAATTGTTCTCGGTCGGTTAGGCTTCGATCCCGAGTAACTGATATATTTTGAGTGCGGCTCTTTCTGGACTTTCTTCAGTCCGGCATTTGATAGCCAGTTTTTCAGTGAATCACAGTAGCTACGGTCTCGGATTGGTTTGGATGGGGTTGCCAATGTGGACAATATTCCTCCATTGTTTGGAGGTCCTTCATGAGGTTGTAGCCTATCTCTTGATGTTTGTGTAGCGAGGGTGATATAATTTGTGTACACGCCTATCCGCGATGATATGTGTGGAATATAACTTCATATATGAATTGACTACTGACAGGACAAGCACACAGCATTATTGGTCGCCCATCATTCACGGTTTTTAGGATGCTCATCTTGTCGATGAGAAGTACTCAGAAGGTGCGGTTACTCAACATCAGTAGCTGCATCATGGCATGGCATCGAACACCTTTATATGCGGTATACTTAATTATACACCCTTATATATTAAGGTTCATTACTGCACATGGATTTCTAAGAGCAGAGCCGTGTGTTACAATGCAGACATTTTAAAATTGCATCTCAAATAGTGTTAAGGATTGCAAATAGCTGGCATGTGAGGAAAGAGAAGCGCAGTTTAAATTTACATCACCACCTCTAAGAAGTGTATACTCTACTTGGCATATGTCAACACCAGCAGCTGCAACCACACGCAGTGGCCAGTGCTGTCATCGGCAGGGAATCTGTAGATGATGCATTATTTTCACAGATGCTTGTAACATTTAGAGCACCTGTACACAAACACGCACTAATTATGGAGCAAACGCGAATGCAGAACCGCTGGCGTACACACCTTTTTCATGAAAGGGCAGCTTAGCATTCGTAAATTAAAAGTATGTGTTACAAGTGATACACATCGTTCTCTGGAAGATGGCCATCATAGTCTTTGCATACAGACTGCTGACCATTTCACCTCTCAGCCCAGAGCAATGAAAAATAATAATCATGCAGAGCAGTACACTCTATTCAACCAAGGGCTACCTACCCTAGGTAAATACTGAATAATTGTAGTTTGGACACTTGCCAAAAACGCACCTGAGACTACAGTACATTCACTAGGATATGATCTGTATTCTGAGACAAAACAAAACATGAACCATAGATGTGATCGTACAGTTATTCTACAACACAGGCATAATGTCCCTGAGAGTGTAAGGATTATACAGTGTTTCTATATCTTTCAGGTATAATTTACACACATGCCTATGTGAACTTCAGCTGTTTTGTTACATACTTTGTACACCAGTTTACTTTTTTTGATATGTCGTAGTGATCATATCTTGTGTATATAGCAGATGCAGAATATGCGGCATTGTAGACATTGTTTTGTAAAATCTAGCAGCATTTAGACAACCATTCAGAACAATCCACAACACTCATGCGAAGTCCATGCTGGGATCTTCTCCAGGAGCTGAAAAAGGCTTCCAGCACGTGGAGAAAAGCGTCGGACATTATGCCGAACAACACGCGGTACAATCCGACAAACACTCATCGGAGACGCATACAGAACCCAAGACGTGAGTGTCAACGCAACACAAACCTTATCTCACGGTAATAGATCGCCGTCATAAATGCGTATTGCTGTGCATGCGGCTTGAATGCTACCGAGTTATAAGGCTGAGGGATTTTAGTTTGCGTTGGCAACTGAGCAAGCGGGTGCCTTTAGGATGTGGATGTTAACTGGCTCCAGTTGTGCAGTTGTTGGGCAATCATTGGCAGGACCGCGGTTTCCTTACAAGTTTGATTTAATGTGCACCAATGTATTCCCATCATAACACACAGACAGGGCACAATAAACACCACTGACACGATGCAGAAGACGACAACAACCGGCAGCTGATGGAATTTTGAAAGGCCTATTGCTATGCATTCAGGGAAACTACACGAATGAGGTTTAAATATTAAAGGCAAAGTGATGGCAATAAAGTGATGGGAGGGATGGGGATAAGTTCACATCCTGATCCTTCTAGTGGAAAAGGAGAAATTCGTGAAATATTTAATGTGCTATGAAGATGGGCATTCGCTTGTAACGTTGCCGATGATAAAGCATTTTCCTATTAAAGCCACAGCTTTATTAATGAATGTGTTGAGTTTTACGCTATATTTTAAATCTGCTAATCTGGAAAAAATATAACTGCATTGCAGCAAGCTCGATAACGCCGCGAGCATCATTAATCGTGAAACATAGTTGGGATTAGCACAATGCGAGGAGAGATGGTCCAACCGGATGGGAATGGAAACTATGAAAATAAAAAGAGTCCCTCCAGACAGCAGAGTTGACATCCTTGTTGTTTTAAGAAGCAATCAATTGGGGGGTGGTTCTCTTAACGTACTGTCGACATCCCGAGCAAAAAACATCAATGCCAGGCAGCTGGTGGAATGTGCTTTTTATGCATGTCCAAAGTTACTGTACAGGCATAGTCTGTTGCAATGGGCAAATAAGTGATTTCTTCTGCTGACTTTGGGTTCACTTTGCATTTCCTCCCTGCGTTCTCATGCCTTATCTACAATAGATGGGGGGGGGGGCAGTTTTTAGTACGAAATCGGAAGCCTTTATTTTAAATGCAGGAAATTAAATTGAAATTATAACTGTTGTGGCAAACTTGTAAACGTTTACATTTGGTAGGGATTTAGTTTTGTGCATTTTCGTCTCGATACGTCTCACGTGGCAAAAGAAAAGTATTGTTTGCATAAAGTTCTGCAAATCTCTTTGGTACTTTTCAAACCTGTCCTGTAATGTGTATGGCCAGGATTGATCTTAATGTTCTCGACTACAATGAGGGAGTGCATACAGGTTCCCAGAATAAAATTTCACTTTTTACAATGGTCAAGAATATATATTTGTTTTCTTTGAGAGATGGGGGGTGGGGGGGGCTCTATTGTCTAGAAAAAGAGACGCCACATTGATCACAATGTATCATAAGTCAATAAACATCAAAGCATATTCTACACAAAAAAAAGCACCAACACATCTCTTCACAGCTCTTCTCAGCACAAACATTCCAGACACGGTAAGTAGTTGCGGCCACCCGTTTTGAAGCAGGGGCAAGGAGAGTTCATTACTGGTGATGCAATGACCCTCAGAGTATCCCCTTGAGGCTGTGGTCTGCAGCCATCTGGCACAGAGAAATTAAGGGACAAAATTATTGACTTTATTTTTATTGCTTATCATCTGTGCATTGTGATAAAGAAACACGCTGGTGTGAAACATCTATTTTCTGCCCCAGGAACATGCCTGGTACATATATGCACGGAAACAAGAAGACACTTGTCATGGGAGGCAAAAACAAACATAACACTTAACACAATCATCAAGCAATCGGCACGGATGGGGGCCATCATATTCACGATCTTTAAGGCACAACTTCCACGTTCCGAGGACGAGAGAAGACGGGAGAAGCGGTGGGACCAAATAATGCACGCGAAGCAAATTAGACAACGCGCATTGTTTGACTGACTTTGAAAAGTCCACACCCCGCAAGACATCTGGTGACGTGAGTGACTCAGCTCGGTATGTGTAATCCCCACTGTCGATTAAGCACGCGTTATCTCTCTAGGTATGTGCACAATACTGTATAGCTCGTCAACAACAGCTTCCCCTTCCCCATTGTCTCTCTCTCTCTCGCTCTGTGTGTGCGTGAATGTGTGTATTTATTAATCTACGAGACACCGTGTTTGTAATTTGCCTGAGTCACCGTTTGCCCGGTAATGCCGGGTACGTTATTAATAGAGGTGTGGTGGAGTGCGTGAAGTCAAGAGTCCCGTGTTTTGGCGGACGGGTACACATTGAGTAATGTTATGGGTTTGATGGAAGTGAAATTCGCGGTATGAGAGGTGTAATCATAAAAGTGTAAGCAAGAAAGAGTGAAGAGACATAATAATATGGATACGTGCTGTTTAAGTGGCTCGAAAAGTACGCTGCCACCAACCCGTAATGTATCCCAATGGTGCTGCGGATACATTGTTTCGTAAAAACATAAAACGAAGTATCCATTCAGAACTGTTACAGCGCATGGAGACAGTTTTCACATGGCTTCTTCTGAGACCACTTCAACTGACCTTTTATCCACATACTAGGATGCGTATTTCCCCAATTGCCCTGCTGCAGAGAGACGTTTTTTCACGTCGAAATTTATGCACAAACCAATATTAAATGCTACGTGTGTTTTTTTTTAATGTACATTAGTTGTTTGTGACCAGGCCATGACCATTAACTCACTATACCATGGTCGGTTTGCTTGGTTTAATTATGCGTGGCTGAATTCCTTGTTAAATCCCAGGTCATCAGCGCTAGCAGTCCAGCTCTCTCTGCCTCTTGAGCCAACATGTCCCCGTCATCACAGTCGCTCCACTTTTGACCTGCCTCCTTTCTGCTGTCTCTGCATGCATCCTCATACAACCCGACATGTCCCAAAAAAAAAAGACTCATGGTGTCTTATTTGCTATACCCTTACCCTAGTCCCGGTGCTGTCTGCTGTGTGTTACGCACCCCTGCTTAGAAAGTGTATACCTGTTCACGTGTGGTAATAATATACGGCGGTTGTCAATCCACTGCTGGATGAAGGACTTGTACTCTGTCGATAAGCTACAATAACATACTTGTCAAACCATACGGTTTACCCGCACTCTTGTACAGGGAAATTTAGTGTTTCACGTCCAAGCGGTGTACAGCCGTTTTACTACGGGCGAAACTTGTTTGTCTATTTGTGTTTCTCCCTTGTGATGGGATTTTATCGGATGTACGTTGAGATTTATAAAGGACCAATAAGGTCTGAATTGGTCTGTAATAAGGGACGCACTGATAAGGGGTTGACAGGTTTGCAATAACCCAGGGGTCAATAGCATGAAGCGACTAATGAGAAAACTCCCCTTAGTTGATCCATAATAGAGGTTTTTTTGGGGGGTTTAGATCACGTAAATATATAAATGTGTCGTTAAAACCCGCCACCACCCGACACAGCCAACGAGTAAGGGTTGTCACGTAAACAGAACGTGGCCAATTCGCCACTCGTAAGCACACCGGTGTGTTGGAGAGCCAAGCCACAACATTTACAATCTGAGTACGACGTTTCACCAGTAATTACAACTAGCTTCATCAGGCGACAGCCAGATTTGTGGAGAAGTCCACCTGTTTCGTTCCTTATATCGAGGCGTAGACGTGGTGACCAAGGCGGTAGCTATCTGAACGGTTAAAATTATTTGTATTTCTTTCAATTTCGATAGATTATCTAATTAGTCTTGGCCAGTAGTAGCTAGTTTTGCACAGAACTTCAACATCAATTGAGTGTCCTTGTTGGCACGCATGTTCTGCTACTGCTGACAGTTGTATTTGGGACAATTTAATATTCATCTGATGTTCTTTTAGTCTCGTGCTGATCATTCGTCCTGTTTGCCGAACATAACATTTACCACACATGCAGTTAATCCTGTACACACCTTCTGTTGATAGCTTTGGTAATACATATTTTGTATCAGATATTAATTTCTGTATTTTATGTACCTTGTCAATTCTGGCTCGGATGTTTTGTTTTTTCCAAACATCTGGCCAGTTTAACAGTTACTCCCGCAATGTACGGTATTTTGATCGTTTTAATTACTTGGGCAGTTTCAGTGGTCGTGTTATTTGATTTTGTTTTGGCATTCAATGCCCTGTTGATTTGTGCATCATTGAAACCGTTCATTTGCAGCGCTTCTTTAACATGTTGAATTTCACTTCTCAGACTGTCACCATTTGACACTTTCTCAGCTCGATGAATGAGTGTCTTGATAACAGCAGATTTCTGTGCGGGGTGATGGTGTGACTGCATTCAGATAGGCGTCAGTATGCGTTTTCTTTCGGTAAACGTGTTATTTTTCCATTTCGACCCCAGAAATGGTATAGAGTTCTGTCAGCTTCTACTTCCATGGTGAACTGGATAGATGGGTTTTACGAGTTGAGATGATTTATAAATTTCCCTTAGTTTCCAGTATATATTAGTGTGAATTCAGGGGCCTTTTCACTTAAGGGGTGTTTCATGCAGCTTGTCCAGGAAATGTATCAGTCCTAGAATGATCCCAAACAGATAGCGTGCCTTTGTTTAAAGGTTAACACAAATACTCTTTCGTTCTTTCGGTAAAGTCACGAAGCTATAAAAAAAATAATAGATCACGACATTTCGATCGCCACACAAGCAACATCTCTCACCTGAAGACGGTTTGTTTGTGTGGCGATCGAAACGTCGTGATATATAATTTTTTCTACCTACGTGACTTTACAAAAATAACTCAAGAGTATGAATTCCTGCAGTCACGAAAGCTTCAAATCAAGATTGACATAGCGATTGCAAACGTGCATTTCTGAAATTCACTCATGTGAAAATGTATATCGGTTTTAAACATGATCCATCACGGCCCGCCTAAAATCTAATCCTACTGGCCATATGATCACACCTACTTGGACATCTGTGAAAAAGAGCTTAATAGCTCATCGGATTTCTGCAGGATAAATATTCAGATTCTAATGTTTTATGTCCATCCCTAGTTTTTAAATGTCAAGTTTTTGTCGAACCAGGTGAGAACTCAAGAGATCTGAAGAGCAGTTTTATTGACCATATGAAATCAGCACAAATATAAATCAATGTTATCAAATATAAATCAATGTTAAATATAAATCAATTTTAACTATTAAAGTCCCTGTGGCATAAGTCGACTTGGGCAGATATTTTTTGTTTTACTGATCACAGCACAATTACAATTAAGTTACAGAAACGTTAAACAGGCCTTTGATCACTATTGCAGTGATATGTAAACAAACAGGGTGTCAGGGAAGTTACTAAATAATCGACAGCTCGGCATCTAACAGTGATTTAGATGGGAGAATAAGTAAGGAAATATCAGAGGTGATGAAAGTTCAGCTGTTTGAGGCATTAACAGAGAATGATTGATAAACATGTGACTTATTTAATTTAATGTTTGATTGATTTAAGTCAAAATGTGATTGTAAGACAAAGAACTACTCATATTGTGGTCAGGAAGCTTGAAAAGTACTTTAGTGTAGATTTTTTAAACTTATATTTGAAACGACTGCACACACTGCTGGAATCCAACCAAGGTCATTTGTGGCCAGGTCACTTCTGAAAAATAAGCGAAGAGCTCAGTGGGCTTTACCTGGTAAGATAAAAATAAATTGTTTAGTTTTATTTGTATTTTTTTTAAGTATTTGTTTACGTTTCCTATACTTTGCACCCATATCGTCAATTTTGAATTGTTTGTTGTTGTAACGTTCTGACCCGCCTCCTTGAAAAATCAGAGATTTCCAGTAGAGAACACCTTTATAGCTTAACGTATTGTTCCAGTATAAATAACCATACATAACCATACAATTAACCGGTCTCATTCTGAGATCCCCGCAATTGCTTCGGTGAGGCCACCAGTTGATTGGGCGGAGTGGTGGAGGATGTGGGGGGCGGGGCGAGGCTTTCGGTGGGGGGGGGCACGGGGGGGGGGGGCTTTACCTCGCGCATGCGCAGTGAGGCGCGAACTTCTCCCGCCATTTTGTCGGCGGTGGGGAGGGGCGGCGCGCGACGACGAGAAGTGCGCGTGCGCGAGCGCCCCGCCTTATTTCCGGCCCCGCCTCCCTATTACCCCGCCCCGTTTTTTTCGACCGAGGGGGGGGGGGTGTGGGGGTGCTCCCCGCCCCCTTGCCACTGTCACCTCCCCCCCCGCCCCACCCCCTTCTCCACTCCGCCCCCTTCCCCGCGGGCCCCGCCCCTAAGCTCCGCGGCGGCTCTGGCGACGACGAAGAAGGCGTTGAGGGGAGGCGAGGAAGGGCGCCTTTTGCACTTTTAAAGTCTTCATTTTTTTTGTCTCCGCTCAAGTCACCTAAACTCGCCGTCAGCTGCGTCGCCGACGTCTCCCGGCGCTGTGCTGAGGTAATAATAATACTAACGAGCTGAAGTAGTAATATTAATTATAAGGCGGTGCTCGGCTGAGCGTCGCCGTGCCCGCCCGGGCCCGCTTCTCTCTGCTAGTGGCCTCGCCCCGCGTACTCCCTCCACCGCCTCATCCTCCTCCACGGTAAACGTAGAAACTTAAAAGGCACAATTGTTGACGGAGTGCGGCGAGTCGAGAGGTGTGTGGGTGACTCTGCGATGGCGGTCGTGTAGTTTAGTTGTAGTTGTTGCTCGTTTGTTGAATGTTGAGAGATGAAAAGTTTGCGCGGTCACGGAAGGGCAGCGGCGGCGGCGGTCTCCCTCGCCCGCCCCTTCTCCCCCCTCCCGGTCTCCTCGCTGTCGAAGCCTTTGGCATTTACTTTTACAGTCTCTTTCCTTCTTGTTTTACTTGATACTTCAGTGGCTGTTGTGTAAACGTTGCATTTTTCTGTGGAAGTGTGGGTGCGTGTGTGTGTGTGCGCGCGTGGTTGTGATATTTGCTCGGTTAAAGATAATGCCTATCGTTTGCGGCGATGTCCTGGAGGTTTTAATGAAAGATCCATGCAGCAGAGTTTTCCATTGGAAGCACAGTCGATGTAACATCACAGTACCATCACAACAAGTAGTACCATCGCAGTGGCGAAGTGCTATCACCATAATACCATCACGTTACATCTCGGCAATACTATTACACTTTAACATTACACTATAACTCTAGCACATGGCAATGACAGTAAAGTCATACTAACAGGACAGCATTATACTAAAGCAACAGTGGCATATCACTCTATACCGTCACACTATAGCGTAAATACGGTACCACCATACTTTAACACACGTAGTGCATTACATCGCGCTATAAAATGACAATCCCACATTGTAAAGCTCCAATAGAATTTGTATCAGCACTCGCGATACCATCACAAGTGGCATGGATCCATTACGCCACAAGACGTTAGGACATCATAGACAACATTAAGCATTGAAACATGCAAGACTAGACAATAATATGATAACATCACAGTGCTCAATACCAATCTCGTTACATTGTACAGTCCGGTACCATCACATTGTAACACACAGTTCCATCGCAGCATAACATCAAAAATACCATCGCACTAGAATACCAAAGACAAACATTCCTCGTATAGCCTTAACAGATTGTTGGGGCAAGTGCTGTTAGCAAGCACCTATAAAGGCACCCAGGTACTCATTTGAGGCGGAGTCGACCAATGGGGGAGGGTGGAGAGCGGTGAGTGTATCGGTTAACGCGCTCACCAGAATACCGAAACACTTTTAACACCACAGTAACACATACCAGGACATTCACTGACTCTACAGGCCCAAATCAAGTTTACAGCTCATTTTGTTTTACCAGGTAAAAACTGAAGACCAGTAAAGTATCACTATAACATCACAATACCTCACCCACAACACACGATTATGCTATAATTATCATCACACTCTAAACACTACAGTCCATTCAGGCCCCGTAACAATACTATCGCACAATTAATAAACTATAGTTTACAATGTTTTTTAAAGTCCTATGCTGCACAATGTCATAATGGTTGGTTAGAAACATGCGCTTTAGACTATTTGGCTGCTAGGAATTTCCACAAGCCACTAAGATTAGCAATGATTTGTGGCCAGACCGCTTCTGAAAAAGAGCTACATAGCTCATTGGGCATTACC